AATGGAAATGGAGCTGTGTGCCTGTTTGAGATCGGTTTCCTCTTAAGTTGGTAATGGGCTAGTGTTGACCCCAGATGTGTCCTAGGGATCAAGGAAAGTTTGAGAAGTCTGTCCCACCAATATCAAGCTCTTTGTAAAATACATTTTAAATAACTTTTAATAGGAAGTTTTATATTAAATTATAAATAGTAGTGTGTTATCACGCGTACACTAAGTGGGCATAGCAAGAATATGATTGAGTGCATACAAGGATCAGAAACCTAAATAAAAAGTATATCTGAAGCAGAAATTGATCTTAATAGAAATACATTTTAAAGTTGTTGGACAAAAAGCCTCTTTCCTAAATTTGAAAGAAGTACTGATGCTAGTTAATCTGTCATTGGGTAATTCAGCAAGAACAGGAGTTCAAGGCTGAAAAGCAAAGATTGAGATGGACCTGGCTTTTAAACCCAGTTATCTTGCTAGATATAAGAAGCTTGCTAAATAAAGATAATCTTAAATAAGGCTAGCAGAATGTATGGATAAGATTGATAGGTAATCTAATAATTAATATGCAGATATTCTTTCTAATATGGCACTTGGATGTATCTTATTTGTCACCCGGGAAATATGCCTATTTCCATAACTGGTATAAAACTGCCTCTGTAGTAAGACTTGATCTAATTGGCCCAAAACTACAAAGCTAGCTCTAGGTGACCCAAAGCTGGCCTATCTAGTTTAGCCACCCTTTTGGTTACGTTCTGAAGTCTTCTCACTTACGAGGTTTTTCATTGGCTACCATTAGCTTTCCTGCGTCTTCCCTTGGGCTGTGAAGCAAAGTGAACATAGTTTAACTTATGCTATTAATAAAGATAATTTATGCTAATTATAAAGTGCACATTAGTTTGGCCTTACAACCACCAGGGCTTTGTGGATCTTACCTGTATCTGCAGCATAGACACCTTAGAGGAGCTCTGCTCTGTACCACAAGCAGTTATGGTCTTTGGCTTCTGGGCTAGTTGTGAGTTTTTTCTAGTGTTGTGGGGGATTTGCAGTTCCTGTGGTAGTTTTCATTGAAGCTTACATTGGGCCACTGCTGGATGACAAAGATAAAGGGCTTGGAAAGCAAGTCATATGAGAAGAGGCTGAAGGAACTAGGCATGTTCAGCTTGTGGAGAAGGTGCTTAAGTGGGGACATGATAGCAGTCTTGAAATACTTGAAGGGCTGCCATGAAGAAGAGGGAGAACACCTTTTCTCTCTTGCTTCAGAGAACAGGACACAGAGCAATGGCTTGAAGTTGCAGCAGAGTAGATTTAGACTGAATATCAGACAACTTCTTCACTGTTACAACAGTGAGGCAGTGAAATAGACTGCTTAGGGAAGTTGTGGACTCTCCATCACTGGATGTGTTCAGGAAGAGGTTGGACAGCCACTGGTCAGGGATGGTGCAGGCATAGGTATGCCTGTGTGCTACTATGGGTATTTCCCATGCTTCTGGGCTTTGCTGGTTGTGGCATGAAGCTGGGAGGGAATCCTCACTACTTCACACTCATTCTGCTATATGTCTGGATTTTTTTTTAAAAGTCTTCTTTCTCTGAGCCATTGGGTGGTGGCTGCAGCCCCGGCTGGGAATTTTGACTGGGGTGTGTCTGTGCTCCTGCTGGGATTTAAAGCCTGAGGTTCCTGGACAGAGGGTCTTGCTCCTCCACTCAGGGTCAGACCAATTGCCATATTGAGGTCAGGAATATATGTTACTTGGTTGTCAGATGGGTATGGACTGTGGGGGGCACTGCCTTCCTCTGCAGCTGAGGGCAGTGCCCTGTACCCTGGAGCTCTTGAATGTATATTAACAACCTTTTACAGAACCAGAATATTGGCTGCCTTGGTCCCCCTGTTTTACCTGTGGCAGGCTGGGGTGTGTTAGGGTTAATGGTAGTTTTACAAAGAGGTTAGATTATGGATTTGAATAAGATGGTTTAGATAGGGATGATCCTGCCTTAGACAGGGGGTTGGACACAATGACCTATGAAGGACCCTTCCAGCCTTACTTCTCTCTGATTTCTGTAATCTGCTTGATGTTCTCGAGACTAACTACTGCCCTCTTCCCCACCAAAGTTATCTTAAGAAGCAGACAGTGAAATCTCATAGCCCCTCTGACATGTCTTTATCTGTCTCTGTGAGATTCTCTGATAACATTTTGTCAAGCGTGGCCAACAGGTCTATATGCCAGGAATGGCATAACAGCATTTATGTATAACTGATGTGGGTTATCCTGCTGTGTGCACAGGTGGACTGGCTAACGGAGAAGATGAGAGAAGCGAATTTCACAGTCTCATCCATGCATGGAGACATGCCACAGAAAGAGAGAGAATCCATTATGAAGGAGTTCAGATCTGGTGCCAGGCAAGTGAAGTGGGATTGGCCATGCCAGCATTTCTCCTGGGTCTTGCAGGAGGGTGGTGTATTTATGGTTTCTCTTTCTACCTCTGAAAACCTCATTCTTAATTTCACCCTCATATGTGGTGCTTCTAGAACAAGCTGCAACATTATACTGACAGACTTGAGAATTCTGAGATCCTTAAGATTCATAAGTATTAGGAGTCTAACAAGTGTCCAGAGAGAGTGACAGGTTGGAAGACCCGTGGAAAACATTTAGAGGGTGTGGGAGAGGGTCATGATGGGAAAGGTATAAATGAGCCCGTTTTCTTCAGTAAAACTTGGTAGCTCTAAGGCTAGCAAGCCACAGATTTGGAAGAATGAGAAGCAAGGCTGTGAGAATTAATTACCTTTTGTGCAGTATTTATAACAAGTCATGGTAATCCTGGATGTTAAATGCGCCTGCTCTCAAGTTCCTGTCTGAAAAGTCCTCAACACTCTTGTGGTGGATATTTATACTGAAGGCTACTTTTTGGAGGATTGGATGTTTTTTTGTCCATGTAAATTCCTGA